CAACAACGCCAATTTGAACACATCATTTCTATGTCAAACAAAATTCCTTAATCTAAAATAAAGAAAATAGAATAAATAGTATAGAGAGAGTAAGGGTCGATCCGCATGGACTAAGGAAGTTGCCAATAATTTAGTTCTTGGTTTTTGATCTGGCGTGAATTGCAAGGGTTTATTGAGAAGTTTGTAAAAAATGAAAGATTTAATCTAAAGTAAATAAAGACATCGAATTAAAGAAAATTAAGATGAAAATTCTATTGATAAAAAGCAGCCTTAGGCTAAGCTTTTGCCTCAATTCCAACTGATCCTTGAATATGATTTTATCTTTAAATTCATGTCGGTTACAGTCTACATGGCCCAACCCCTATAACTTGTTTTTCTCTCAATTAATCGATCATCCAAAATCAATATTTGGATCCTAGTCCTTATGAGGGCTAACCACAATAATCATTTGTTAATCCCAACTCCGTTTTAGTTTTGGAAAAACCCGACTCGGATTATAGCGTCTCAATGAGAATTGAAACTGATTTCAGTTTCCCTTAGCGAACCGTTGCTAAGTGTTTTCACAGGAAGTCAGACATGCTACAAGTTGATCCTTCCTCCCAACTATTAACCAAAACCACAATTAATCCAACGAGCTCTTTTGAAGTGCAAGTGTTTTTTTATTGCAAAAGGACGATAGATTGTTGATCCTTGATTCCAGAAAACTGAAACTGTAACCCGAAGGGTAGGAGATGTCTTTTAATTCTCACGATCGGAATTGATTCATCGCTTTAGCATTTGTCTTATGAAAAACTTAGATAAGCATGATAGAAACCGTACTTAGCATTTTAAAAATAAAGAAAGCTTGTAAAGAAAAATAAAGAAAAAAAGTAAAAAAAAAGTAATTTTATAAAAACTAAAGAAGTGAACAAAAGAATTTGAGAGATGATAGATATGATTTTCAGTTCACCCCGATAGGGGTATTTATACTATCCTAAAACCCTAAAAAATAATTTAAACTAAATCCTAAAATTAAAAGATAATTCTTAAAAACAAAGATAAATCCTAATTTAAACTTTGGAAGTGCGGCTGAGTCTTCTGTCTCCACGAGAATGCTGACTGGACCTTCTAGAAGGTGTTGACCGGATACCACATCAGACATAGTCATGCCCCAATTCATGCCCACTAAGCCAACATTGATTCCAAAAAATAAAAAGTTGCAAAATTTCATCTATTTAAGCACCATTTCTGAAATCGACTGCACTGCATAGAAAATGAACAAAACACCCAAATTAGTAATTTAAATCGACTAATCAAGGAGTATTTATCAACAAAATATAAACTAATTTATGCAATAATCAAAGGAGTACGCCTTTTAAGGGTGAGGATTATTGACAAATTGATTGCATGTCTCATAATAGTCGGACCTTGAAGAAACTTTTGAAATTGAGGGATGAGGTTAGAGTTATTTGGGAAAGGTGTTAGCTGGTCGGTGGTGACTAATAGATAAGTTTAGGACAGTATAAAAGAAAAGAGGACTAGAGTGCAGTGACATAGGCTCATTTGGTTCCTCTTCATGTGCCCAAATAATCGATTATTGTTTGGATAATAATTTTGGATAAGTTGTCAATAAAAGACAGGCTTGCACGCACGGGGATTGATACAGATGGATTGTGCATCTTGTGTGATGCTAATGCTGAGACAAGAATCCACCTTTTTATTGAGTGTTTGGATTGTGCATCTTGTGTGATGCTAATGCTGAGACAAGAATCCACCTTTTTATTGAGTGTTTTTACTCTTGCAGAGTGTCGGGTAGTGTTCTGCAGCAGGGGCAGTTTGGATGGGAAGTTACTATGAGTTGGACTCTGGATAGTTTGAGAGGTAAGTCTTTAATTGTCTATATTCTTAAGTTTGTTTGGACGGTGTTTCTATACTATATTTGGGGAAAACGAAATCGTAAGCAATTCAGGGGATGTCCGCTCAATTGAGGAAATAGTTGATTGTATAAAGGAGGTGATTAGCATTCGGTTACAAACTTGTTCTATACATACTGATAGGGTAAATACCAAATTGTATTTTGATTGGGGGATTCAATGTTTTTCATCCTGCTGTATTATTTCAGCCTTGGTTGTATTTTGGATTAAAACGATAACTGAATTATTAAAAAAAAATAGATTAAGAAGTAGAGAAAAGGGTATAATAGTGTTAGAAGCAAATTAAGTAGAAAGCTCGTAAGTATTTTGTTAATCCGAAATTGATGGATACTTATCGAAGGAAGGGATGGCTTTAGAGAAGATAAATTGGAGAGAGGTCGATATTTTAACTAAATTAAAAATTGGGTAAATTGTAACGTTTGTTCCTTTTTTTCAGTCTATTTTATTGTGGTCACAGGTTTTGAAAATGTTACGTTTTGGTTACTTTTTCTTTATATGTCTTATTTTACTAACTCTAGGGTTAATTCTCGATACTTGATGATGTGACATGTTAATAAATAGTTATTTTTAATTTGATCATTAAATTTTAAATAAAATACTAATTTAAGCTTAAATTATAAATAAATTTAATTTTTAAACTTTTGATAAAATATCAATTTAACCTATAAATCTAATCAAAGTTATTGTCGTCAACCACCATTCATTATTTTCCGGTCTTTGTTGACCACCTTGAGACCCCAATTTTTTTAAACTCAATGTTGACATAAATTCAGATCGATTCTTATTACAGATAAAATTAATGTTGTGAAAATTAGTAATACTCTTGGTGATAAGGAGGTTGAGATTATAAATGCTGGTACTTTGCACGTCTTCAGTTTATTATTCAAATTCTTGCATAAATTTAGCATTGGTGTGGCTCCTTCACAGTAATGTGGACTTTGAATTCATAAAAAAGAGCAGCATTTTGTGTAGGTAAAGGCCTCTGCATCTCCCCCTTGTACATACTGAGCCTTGTGTACCAGGCTCTTTTTTTTTTCAAGCACAACATTAACATAACAAAATAGCTACAAGAAGTTGGAGTAATTTGGTAGTGTCAATATACCTTTCAATGATCATGTTTAAATTTGGAGTACCAGCTTATGGTCCTGTGCAGGATGCTTATCAAGCAAGTATGATGCGAGTTGAGCAGTATTCGACTTGTGCTTGTTAAAAAAATTTATTGCTCGACTCGTTACTCGCTAAGCTCGTTAAAAAAATTTATTGCTCAATTCGTTTTTCGTTGATCGTTAATCTCACTACTCAACTCGTTACTCGTTTCTCATTAAACCCGCTGCTCGTTTCTCATTAAACCCATTGCTCGTTTCTCATTAAGCTTTGTTGCTCGACTCGTTGCTCATTAAACTCGCTAAAATTTTACCTTACTTTTATAACTATAGGTAAAATCTACTAACATTATATAGAGTTTAATATAAACATAAATTAATAAATTTAACTAAAAAACTTATCAAGAGTATGAAACAATTTCTAAATTCCAAAGTAACAATCCACAAATACACCAAATTAACATATTAAAACTAAAGGAACAATCCATACATAAATCAAACTAACATATTAAAAACATTCTTAAAAAAAAAAAATCAACGATACATAATCAATATTAAACATAAGGAAATCAACATCTTTTCAACCCATTCGTTGTTGCTTGCAATCACCAAACTACTAAAAGTTATAAAAGGAATTAACGAGTTGCTTACAAACTTATCGAATCGAGTTGGACTTTACTTGACTCAACTTGTTAAGATCTCAAGTCAAGCTCGAGTTCAAATCGAATCAACCCCAATCGAGCTTTGACCAAATTTTGACCGAGTCAAATTTAAACTACTCACCATTAAGCACCCCTAATCATATGTTTTTAATTGTGCTATCTATTTAATATTGTTTTTTTTTTCTTTTTTCTCTTAGCGGATTGTTGGGTGGCTGCTTTATGAAATAGCTTGACTACTACTTCTAGAATGCTTTATTGATCGAAGTCAATGTTGAAATGAAATAATTTTATACCATTCAATCGTAGTATTTTGCAACCCTTGCCTTTGTTTCAGGTTGAATGATTCTCGTCTTACCTGCAGTTATCAATCTGATATATCATCTGATGTTAATAGAAATGAGCAAAACCGACTAAATAACTGCACATATGGAATAAATGGAAACCCTGAAAATGAATATGAGAATAAGCAAACAGACAACCAGAGATCGCAGGATTGTACGCCTGATTTTAAAGATGTTAATTGGTAAGAAACCTTTGACAGTGTTGCTAGAGACTGGCACTGAATTTTAGCGATGAATGAGGGCTGGGCACGAGCTCAAACCCGACCCAACCATATTGAGTCAATTTTTTTAAACTCAGGTTTGAGTTGAATTAGGTTGAGTTCTTTATATTATAAAATCAAGTCGAGTTCAAATTTAAGATAAAAAAAAACTTAACCTGAAAAAATAAAGTAATTACACCTTATATATTTAAGAAAAATTACAATAATACATTATTATATATTTGTGTGAAATTAAGTGAGTTTTATCTCAAAAGACGAATCAGAGTTCAAGTTGGGTGAAGTCACTCTAAATCCAAGTTAGATCAAATTTGAGGTGAAAGGTGTATTTATATTGGATCAAATCTGAGGTGAAAGGTGTATTTATATTGGATCAAATCGGATTAGCCAGAAATCCAATCCAATGCGGCCCATGTCTTTCCCTATATGAGTCTAGAGAACAGAGATGCTAGTGGAGAAATCTTGGAAGGAAATCCACAAGAAAAATCTTGCTAATGAATCGTCCCTTGAAACTGCAATATAATAATCTACAACTACCTCATATCATTATCCCCCAAGTTGGACGAGGAAGTGGGACCTATGAATTAAAGAATGACTTAGAAAATTTACAAAGGAATCCAAAATCACGGATTAATGGGCAAGAATCTACTTTTAAAGTTGAATAATAGCAGCAGGAGGATCAGGAAACTTCCATTTTAGTAGTTTACCCAATTATCGATTTAAACCAAAGCTTTTTATGCCTCATATCAATTGCAGCAAAATGTTTCCCAAAAAAATCGCTTTCCAAGTTATAGCGGATAGCAAAGTTTAATGTCACAAAACACAATCGAAATATTAAACGGTCAAACAGATTTTCAAAATTTTCCAGACAACACATGAAGATAATCCTTATAATCAAGATTAATACCCTAATAAGGACAAAGACAGCAAAAGAGCACTATAATTATGGAACAAGAGATACCGATCATTCTTCTTCAGCTATCCTTCCCTTCTCACTAACATAGATACCATCAAGGAACTTTCTAATATCCTTGTTCTTCACATGGCATTTCTATTTGAATCAAAGTTAGACCAGACATTCAGTCAGATACATGAGCACAAATGTTAAACATCAGCTTAATGTTCTACTTGTTTTTAAAAACATATACATGGAAAGGCAGGAGAGTACCTGGTTTATCAAAGCTGCTGAGCGTGATACAAGTTCAATATCATTACCATCCAAAACAATTTCATCCTTAACCTTCTCAGATCGAACAATGGATACCCCTTCCAACATATCCACCTTTCGGACCTGACGTTCAACGCAGAAAACAGAGCAACATTAATATAATGTCGGGGAAATAGATGAAACTTATCTAACACATCAACGTGGTATATTTTGGCTACTTAAACCCTAGAACAGCAAAATTTTTATTGAAAAAGTAAAAACAAAAACGTTTGTCCCATTTATCTTCATCCAACAAATATAAGAATTTCATGTAACATCAAGGCCCAAACAAAACTATGTCTATTGTTCTTATATGTAACAATTTAATTCTTTAAAAAACTAAATTTCAGAAAAAAATCAAATGCATGAGATAAATTATACAAAATATAGAATTAACTGAACCACAACAAAAACATGAGAAAATAATTAACGCATGACATCAGCCAAAAAAAAGAATCGACTTGAATACACAATCATGTTAAAATCTAGAGAAAATAAAATTATCAAGTGGAAAAGTGTATGTATATTACTTTGAACAAAAATACAATTACAGATAAAACACAAATCCAATATGGGAAAATATAAAAGCATAATTGAAATAAATTAAGATAAAACAAAAATCCAATATGGGAATATAATTAAAACATACATAAAAAAGGACATGAACAAACGAACAAATAACAATATATATTAACACATTATATAGTGCTTCGAATATTTGAAAAATAACACAAAAAAGAATGTTTTTTATCTTATAGCTAAAAAGGGAAATTATCCCCAAATCATATGCAAACCCCCTTAAGGATATAATTTTATAGCTCCAAGTCCAGCTAAGCATGACTTCAGCTATAATTTTATAGTTCCAAATAACCACAACTTTAGCAATGTCTCACCAAGGTATCCAATCTTCAATTCGACAATCCCATACAATAACATAAATTAACAGTTCCGGATAAATGTGGGAGCAAACAAAAAGATGCTACATTTTTTGCATGTTATATGCTAGCATTGGAATTAATAGGAATTCAGCATTTCAATAGTACCAAAAAAGATTATGTTAAATAAGAAAACTCCAACATGTGATAAAAGTAATAATAAACGCCTTATTCAAACGTAAAGAAAAGGAATTCAATCAACAGTGACAGTGTGGTTTCAATTATATAAGAAAATAAAAAGTGGAAGACAAGAGAGAGAGAGAGAGAGAGGACCTTCTTCTCGCCAAGGAAGTTTCGGATCTCGATGGATTTGCTGCCGTTAGTGATGGAAGCGTTGATTGGAAAGTGAGCGTAAACGAATCGCATCTTGTAACGGTAGCCCTTGGTGACGCCGGTGATGAGATTCTCAACGTGGCTAAGAGCGGTGCGGATGGCGGCGCTAGTCTTCCTGGAGCCGAACCAAGCTTCAATCCGGAGCTTGCGCTTGCCGGTTTCGTCGTCTTTGATGAGATGGAAGTCGAGGTTGAGGTGCTTGAAGTTGCGGGTGAGCTTACCCCTGGGGCCTTCAACCTCGATCATCTTGGCCTTCACTTTGATGTTAACCCCATCGGGGATATCCATTGTCTCTGACGAAAGTATAGTCTTCATTTTCCTTGCTCCCCTCGGCTTCCTTTCGCGGCTTCCAATTCGATGAATGGAACCAATATATATATAGTCTACATAAAAACCCTAATGCCCATACATTAGTTTATTATATATCTACCCGGGGTTCCCTTTTTGGGCCGGGTTTTGTTGTATGATTCATTACTTTTGGTATCGGTTCATCTTGAAGGTGGATGCCTTGCTAGTTTTTTTAACTTTGAAACCATATTGAATTTTATTGAAACCAAAGGATATATAACCTTAACAATACAATCAATTAAAGAATGAATTTAGGGGATTATGACCACCAAAGAGCTCAATCATAAAATAAAATAAAAGAGAAAACTGAAAGACGTAATAAAAATCGATGTCTTGCTAGTTTTAGTTGTACTTTCTCTGCTTGTTGATTTTTTATCTTGTACAATAGTTGTTTGTTAACGTAATTTATTTTATGGATATGTATCAATCTCTACACACAATTTACGGGAGAGATTAAACTGTACTAGAGGGTACAAATGAATTTTTTTTGCTTCGTGAAAAACGTGTTCGTTTCAAACTTAAAAGTATTGTTAGTAAATAATAATTAATTATTCAAATTCCATATTTCGTAATCCTAATAGAATAAAATATCTAAGAAGAATCTAATGTAACATATAATTAATAAATGTTTCCAAAACTTACAAAAACAGTTTGAAATAATTTATAATGTTCAAAATCCAAAATCACATAAATAATACAAATCATCATTTCCAAACAAAAATAAGAATAAAAATTCAAAATAAAATTTTATATTGAATGTAACAATTTTATTTGATAAGTGAAGTGGTTCTCCAAGTACCGATAGACTCAGTGTGAGTATCTAAAAGAAAGAAGCTAAAAGGTGCAAGATATTAACCTTAGTGTGTCTCTAAAGTGCAACAAACACAATTCGATTCAAACAAAAATATTTACAGTCCGAGTCATAATATTCATATCATAATCTGAATCAACCAGTAATAATCATAATCTGAATAAACATCAATAAACTAAATTTGAATGTTATACAAATGATTATGCACTCATCCACCTGCTACACCATCCGAATAGCGACTTTCCCAAAATCACTCTAACTACAATCACACCTTTTGAAGTGAGGTCCACCCAAAAGGCAAAGACCACATAATCGAAAGTGACATTCGTCCCATCGAATAAATGCACTGAAATTCCCCTGTCAAAATCTAATCCAATATGACATGCAAAATGACATATATATCCTATTTCCGATTCGAATAAAAATATTACATAATCAAATATTCCAAAGCATATATTTTGATTTCGATAATTCATTACAATCACATATTATGTATGCACAACATATATTTCGACTCCGACAATTCAACATGCATCATATGACATTTTTTTAAATTACATTAAACACAATCAATTTTCACAATTAAACATACTTTAAATTAAATTCACAATCAATCAAACCAGAAAACAATTAATCAATACAAATATAACACTGAATAGAGTCATAATGGGTCGATGATTCCCACAATCAACTTTATCAATGGGTCGAACTGAATCAACTCCTACACTGAAATAATAATAATTACTATTCTATTGAGGTAATGAGGTCAAACTAAATTTACTACTTTTCACTAACTCACAAACAATTCTCGAAATTCCAGTTGGTTTAAAATTAGTGGGTAGTGACAAAGAGCGATAACTTCATTCTCGACTTGATTCCTCCTTCAAAAATTACAACATCCAATTAAAATCTCAATCAACAATTTTTCGGACACCTTACATGAAAATGACATAATAATATTTTTTCTGATTCGAAACAAGGATCCGACAATGGGATTTTGGTTTAAATATGGGGGCTACCGAGTAAAACGTGACTGCCAACGTCAGGTCTTCACCGGTAGCAACCCGATTAACCGATGAATCTCACAGTCACTTAGTCGAGGCCTAAAACGACCGGAAACAAGCGACAAGGTGGTGACAAGGGTGCGGCATCAACTTCAACGGCCAATTGGGGTGTTTCCCAGGCTCAAAATCGATCGATTAAACCTTCCCACGTGAAGCCCCAACCACGGCAAAGCCAAGAACGGCCATGGACAGCCCCGAACGATGATGACTCGAGAGTTCAATGCTTATTTACCTTGCCTGAACACGAACATCGGTGACCACTCGACTAGGCGATGAGGCTGGGAAAGAGATTCAATTGATCGGTTGTTATCGACGACTTGTTTTGGAGTGAACGAATGTGAAACGAGACGAGCAGCGGTGGTGAACAAAAGAAAAGAAAGAAAGGGAAAAAATATAACAGGCGGCCGCTCGGGCTTTAAAATCCAAGGTTAAACTTGTTATTGTAAAATAAATGGGTAAATCAATATGTTAGTTCTCAAATTCTCTTAGGGTTTTGGAAATAGTCTGTATCTTTTTCATGCATTGCATTTTTATCTATATTTTTTATTTTTTGACTGCCGGAGGTCTTCTACGGAAGCTACTCTCAACCTGGCGTTGGGGGCAGCCTACTACCCTACCTCCCCCTTACTCCATTGCATATGGGAATTGGGTTTTGTTGTTGTTGTTGTTGTCGTCTGTATCTTTTTCAGTTTTTCAATTTGATCACAAAAGTTGAATTAGGGATTTGAAAGAAAATCCCTAAATTTATGGAGTTTCGAATTTGGGAAAAAAACGAGGTGTTACAATTCTTGCCTCCTTAAAAAAAATTCATCCTTGAAATTTATCGGAATGGAAATTGAATGAACAAAGAAAGTACCCATAATTTCATCTTACTCATCTTGATCCTCATATATTCAAGTATCATAAACCAACTCATACTGCTTCACTGCATATCTAACTAAACTTCTACTTGAGCTAGTCTACCCCTACTAATTGAACCAAAACTATTATCTTGCTCACTACCTCAAATCTCTGTCTAAACTAACCTTAATATTTACATTTATTGATTGATAATTGAGAACTCCTATGAGGTGACATAGTGAACTATCTACCAAAAGAGAAAAACCTAAGATCTGAGTTGATACTTGGAATTCCAAATTAAAATATTTATTTATCCTTTTTAAAATAAAAATAAAAAAGTAATAATTTATTTATCCCAAAAGTTCTCATTTTTACCCGAAAATATTTATGTGCATTCAAGTATAATTTTTTTAAAAAACTTTTGTGGTCGAGCTCCATAATTTGAGGGTTTAACCATACTCTAATATGAATAAATGTAGCTCACTTAGCCCGACCTAAAGAAATAGATTGAATCTAGAGGGAAAAATTGAATTCTTTTTCCCTCATGAAAAACGTGTTTGTTCCAAACTTAAAAATATCATTAGTAAATAAGTATAAATTCCTCAAATTCAAATATTTTGTACTCTTAATAGAATAAATTTTTCGAGAAAAATCTAATGTAAAAAATAATTAATAAATGTTTCCGAAACATGCAAAAATAGCTCGAAAAATTTATAATGTCCAAATCCAAAATCACATAAATAATATAAATAATAATTCCCATATAAAAATATGAATAAAAATATGAATAAAAATTTGAAATACAAAATTTTATACTCAATGTAACAATTTTATCTTACAAGTGAAGTGGTTCTCCAAGTACATATTCTCCTAAGTATAAGTAAATGAAAGAAAGAAGTTAAGGAGGTGTAAGCTATTAAACTTAGTGTGTCTCTAAAGTGTAACAAACACAAGTCAAAATACAATTTGATTCAAACAAAAATATTCACAGTCCAAGTCATAATATTCATCTCATAGTCCGAATCAACCAATAATAATCATAACCCAAATCAAATAGTCATAAACTAAATTTGAATGATATGCAAATGATTATGCACCCATCTTCTTGTCACACCATTTGAAGAGTGGGTTCTCCAAAACCACTCTAACTACAACCACACCATTCGAAGTAGGGTCTACCACAAAGGCAAAGGCCACAAAATTCGAAAGTAATATTCACTTCGTCGAGTGAATGCATGAACTTCCACTATCAAAATCCAACCCAATATGACATGCAAAATGACATTCGTATCCGATTTTCGATCCAATCCGAATAAAAGTATTACATAATCAAATATTCCAATGCATAATTTTATTTTAATAGTTTGTTACAATCATATATTATGTATGCACAACAGATATTTCAACTCCGAAAGTTCAACATCATATTACATTTTTCTAATTACATTAAACACCATCAATTTGTACAATCAGACATGCTTTCAATTAAATTTACAATCAACGAAACAAGAAAGCAACTAATCAATACAAATAGCACTGAATAGAGACACTATGTCAATGATTCCCACAGTCAACTCTATCAATGGGTCGAACTGAATAAACTCCTAGACCAAAATAATAATAATTACTATTCTATCGAGGTAACAAGGTCAAACTAAATTTACTACTTTTCACTAACCCAAAACCAGTTCTCGAAATTCCAGTCGGTTCAAAATTAGTGGGTAACAATGGAGAGTGATAATTTCATTCTCTATTCGATTCCTCCTGCAAAAAAAGTACAACATCCGATTAAAATCTCAATCAATGATTTTCTAAACACTTTACATTAAAATGACGTAATAATATTTTTTTCATTCGAAACAAGAATCTAACAATGGGATTTTGGTTTAAATATGAGGGATGCCAATACGATTAAGATAGGACTATCGATGTCGAGTCTTCACCGGCAGCAACTCAATTAACCGATGACACTCACAGTCACTTAGTCGAGGCTTAAAACGACCGGAAGCATGTGACAAGGTGGTAGCAAGGGTGTGGCAGCAGCTTCCACGGCTAATTGGGGTGCTGCCTAGGCTCAAAATCGGTCGATTAGCCTTCCCACGTGAAGCCCCAACCACTACAAAGTTAAGAACGGCCACGGACAGCCCCGAACGATGATGACTAAAGAGTTTGATGCTTATCTACCTTACCTTAACATGATCGATGGTGACCACTCGACTAGATAATGAGACCGAGAAAGAGATTCGATCGATCGGTTGTCATCAATGACTTGTCTTGGAGTGAATGATAGTTAAACGAGAGGGGCAGCGGTGGTGAACAAAAGAAAAGAATGGTGAAAAATGTAACAGGCGGCCGCTCGGATTTTTAAAAGGCATAATGTAAACAAATACCCCTAACGTTTGTCACTTTCCTATTGATTCGTATTAGCAAGAATGAATAAAAGAATCTTACTTGCGTGGAAGGGGACTCGAACCTGGGGTAAGGGCTTAAAATAAGATAACCATTGCCACTAGGCCAAGCATGCTATTCACTTATAAAGTGAAACAAAAGATTATTTAACCCATATTATATTTTCAGTTTAATTAAACCAGAAAGTTTTGGATTTCAGCCGTTCCGGCAGCTGTCCTAGTTTTTCTAGACTGCCATTGCAGAGATTGAAAGAGAAAAAGTTTTTTCTTTTTTATTTATTTATTTTTTTTCTTTCTTCACTCGAGAGGGTGTAAATCAACATTTGTGGAGATGTCCGTTGCGGATATTGCTTGGAGGCGGGTTAGTCAAGAAACGATTCGCTCGTTAAAGATTACTGCATAAAAGGTGGTAATGTTTTGCATTTGGTCTTAAAACTTTCTGATCTTTTGCTCATCACTGTACAGTCGAGTTGCTTTAAGGAATTTGAACTTCAAATTGATCGGAATAGAAATGTTGGGTATTTGAAACAAATGATTGCCATTAAAGGGAAGGGATTTATGGATGTTTATGAACAAGAAATATTTTTTCATGGAGAAAAAGTAGATTACTAGAGGTTAGTTGATGATCTATGCAAAGATAATGATGCTGTGATTCATTTGGTGGTCCACAAATCAGCCAAAGTTTAATAGGGAGGATTCAAAGCGAAGAAGAAACACTGAGAGAAGATCAGTGCAAACATGTATTTCCTAAAGCTATGGCTGTCATCTTCATGAAACAAAGCAACTTATATTTCCAAAACAATATCTGCAAATAAGAACAAAAAGAATAAAGTTAAACATTCATTGATTTCAAATTAAGATTTGAGTTCTTCAAGCGTATATGTTTGTTTATATCAACTTACATTTAGAATCTGTTTTCACCCATTTACTTCCATCGTCTGCCTTTTCTGTCTTGTCATCTCCATTGATAGTCCTGGCAATATGAGCACTGCTCTCTAGGGATTTCTTGGTAGTCAATTTGTTGCCATGGTTTTGTGGATATATCTTCTTGTGAAGTATAGTTTTCAACATCTGGAAATTAACAGCTCAAAACGTTTAATTATACTTGATTAACAATGTGATTTACTAATGTGATTGATGTGTTTTTTAAGTACCTTCTCCATTCTTGACTCCAGGGCTGGGTCCCTTAAACTAATGGGAGCCGGTGAGAATCCATTTATACAAACGAACATCTTCTTTAAAAGAAACAATAATGATTTCTTCCCTATTGCAGCTTTGGAGTTATCCAAGCTTACATCTTTCCATCTACTGTGGACTAAACTGGTGCTGCAGTGGTCATCGGAGAATCCAGTACTGCAAAACCTTTCTTCAACAGGAGCTTTAGGATCAGTCGATTACGGTGGTGGTTCGACGTGTTCTTGAAATATCAAGTTGAACTCTTTCTGAAGCTTCCCTACTTCTTCTGGTGTAAGGCCGTGTAGATGATTAACATGAATATCTTGTTGTGGATTTGGTTTCTCTGGTTCTTGTTTGATTTTGTTGCCGAATGTTTCGATTGCTAGCAGTCCATGAGGCCATTCGCTGAACTTTTCTTTGCAAGGCTGTTGCGGGGTGGTGCCTGTAAGATGACGACGACTATGATGATCAACAACGAAGATCAAACATGTTGGAGACAAAAACATGTATGGGGTGGTGTCTTTAGAAGAAGTGCACAAGATCACTGTGCTCGATATAAGAATGGTGAATGCTGATAGGCATGCTAGGAATATCTTGATCGGGAAAGGGGACGATGACCGGACCGTTCGATATAAGAAGTGCACAAAAACTTATCGGAGACATATCTACTGGAACGGCTGAAATCCAAAACTTTATGGTTTAATGAACATTTAATATGAGTTAAATAATCATTTGTTTCATTATATAGCTGAATAACATGCTTGGCCTGGTGGCAAGGGCCATCTTATTTCATGCCCTTGTCCAAGGTTTGAGTCATTTTTCATGCAAGTAAGTGCCTTTTATTTATTCTTGCCAATACGCACCAATAAAAATTACTGAAGTGTCAATTTCACGTCCTCTGATCTTTTAGGGTTTTTGAAAAAGTTTGCATCTTTTTCAGTTTTGCAATTTAGTCAAAAAATTGAATTAGGGATTTGAAAGAAAATCCCTAAATTTCTTGGGTTTCAGATTTGGGAAAAAATCGAGGTGTTACAATTCTCCCCTCCTTAAAGAAAATTTCGTCATTGAAATTTATCGGAATGGAAATTCAATGAACAAAGAAAGTACCCTTAATTTCATCTTACTCATCTCGTTCTTTATATCTTCGAGTATCATAGACCAACTCAGGTTGCTTCACTGCATATCTAACTGAACTTCTACTTGAGCTAGTCTACCCCTACTAACTGAGCCAAAACTAATATATTGCTCACAACCTCAAATTTCTGTATAAACTGACCTTAATCTTTACATTTATTGATTACTAATAGAGGGGGTGACATAGTGAACTTTCTACCAAAAGAGAAAAACCTAATATCTGAGTTCATACTTAGAATCCATAATTAAAATATTTATTTATTCTCTTCAAAATAAAAAATAAAAAAGTAATAATTTATTTATCCAAAAAAGTCTCATTTTTACTCGAAAATATTTATATGCATTCAAATATAATTTTTTAAAAACCTTTTGTGGTTGAGCTCCACAATCTGAGGGTTGAACCAGACTCTAATACCAATAAATGTAGATCACTTAACCCGACCTAGAAGAAATAGATCGAATATAGAGGCCACAATTGAATTCTTTTTCCCTAATGAAAAACGTGTTCGTTCCAAACATAAAAATATCGTTAGTAAATAAGCATCATTTCCTAAAATTCAATATTTCATACTCTTAATAGAATAAAATATATGAGAAAAATCAATGTAACAAATAATTAATAAATGTTCCCGAAACATGCAAAAACAATTCGAAGTAAATTATAATGTCCAAATCCAAAATCACATAAATAATAATTCCCAAATAAAAATATAAAAAAATTGAAATAAAATTTTATACTGAATGTAACAATTTTATCTTATAAGTGAAATGGTTCTCCAAGTACAGATTCACCTAAGTACAAGTAAATGAAAGAAAGAAGCCAAGGGGTGTAAGCTATTAATGCATGTGCAATGTACTATGCTATGAGACTTAAAACTGTGCAAGTATACGCAATCGAACAAGTAATATAGTAGTGAGTGAGTATTGTATCTACAGGGATCAGATGGATTTCCAAGTTAAGATAATGCACTAAAATTCTAACTAATATAGTATAGTGTGGTATGAACAAGTGAGTTGGAAATCTTGTGGAAAATATTTAAGTGAAGCGTTGAGGTAAACAATAATATAATGCTATGGCAAAATTGTGTTGAGAACTGGGTATATAAGATAAGTCAACGATACGACCTCGCATATGTGAAACTCTCAAGAAGGATAAATGACTGAGTCTATATTAGAATCCTATGTCTTGTCCTTAATGAATTCTTTAGCAATTTCCAATTAATACAATGCTCGATAGACTTTACTAAGGTGTTTCTAGGCTATCTCTAGTAAGAAACCTGACAGTGAAAATACTACAACAATACCTCTCAATGTGAACCCTAGCATGATACTGTCGATTAAGCCCTACTCCTTTTAGTCTTTAAAACCCTCTCCTTATCTCTAAGGTGGATTAGAACCTCACTATCCTAGTTTAACTCCATTTCTCACGTCGATCTAGCCTAACTCTCTCAATATTAAGCATATATACTTAAAAAATGGCCAACTCTCAAAAGCTCTTACATGTCTAAGAAATTAAAATATAAACAATGAGTAAAGCGTGTATATAAACTACAATCATAAATGAATATTTGTCATTAAATGAATATTTTATTCATTTAAGCTTAAATTAAAGGTAAATTAACATAAAATTAAAGGAAAATTTCGTGAAGATTGCTATTTTCCAACCACCATTGCTGTGAACTCCATCCTAAGGTAAGAGAAATTGTTTTTTGAGCAATTTCCTTTGGATTTTGGATTATGCCGTGAAATATAAAATTGTTTTACGCGAAAAATGCTATCATTTGGTACCAATATTGCATGCTAATCTTGCTTGTGTTCAAAGATCCCAAATTTTAGGGTTTTTGTTCACACTAGGGTTTATGAAATTGATGAAGGATTTTGATGTTTTTGAGGTTGTAGAATCATATACAAGCATGATTGTTGATTAAAATCATTTGTACATGGCTATATAAGCCTATGTTGAATTCAGCTAAATACTAGCTTTTGGGGAAATATATATTTTGATGAAATTAAGTTAGGGTTTGATTATAGAGGTATTGAAGTGTTGAATAGAGGTTGGTTTCATGCTCGAATCAAGTGAAAATTATGAGATTTACACCCCTAAAGCATTCGACCATGAGGAAATAGGTTGAGAAAAATTGTGGAAAAATTACCATGGCTTAGAAATGATATTTGGAAGGTTCTACAAGCCTTATAAATTTTTTTGGGCCAAAGTGTAATTTTTCAAAAGTTGAGGGACCTATTTGATAATTTTGAAAAGTGATGGGCTGATTGTGTAGTTACAAAATAATTGATTTAAATTATTGGAAATTTCTGTTTGAGGGCTGAAATTAAATTTAGAATGTGATATTAAACCATTTTGGAAATTTGGAAAAGTTCAAGTATAAAATGGTGAATATTGAGAACGTTAGTGGCTTAAGTGGTAATTATGGTATTGTTGAGATATTGAGTTGTAAGTTTAATGCTGGAAATTTATTGGGCTTATTTGGGCTTGAATTGAAGAATTTATGGAAAGGGCCCATTTTGAATAAAAAGGAAAAGTTAAGATGAATTTTAAAAGAATTAGGAAATAATGGTACTTTTGAGTATTATTATTTTGTATAAATGTTAGTAAGGATACTAATATTGTATTTTATTATTGTATATGCTTTGTATGGATGCTTGTGTAGATCATGATCAAATTCGTGATACAAGCAAAATGAAGGCAAGGAAAAAAATTCAAGAATAATTGGATTCAAATAGTAAGGCATAATAGTGAGGCATATCAAGTGAATGCATTTATTATGTACTTATATGATATGAGGATGACTTGCAATGAGCCAACCTCGAATATTATTTATAAAAGCATGTTTTACCGTATTTTGAAATATTTTCATAAAGTTTATGAAAATGATTTTACAAATAATTTTAGGGTATGAACTACCCTAAAAATAGATGGATGAACTTTTACATTATTTTAAGAATTATTGATGTTTCAGAATAAATGTTTAATCTGGGAATTTGATTTAAAGGCCTATTGTATGTGTATTGAGAGTCGTAGGTGCATTTCGACATACTTTGTGTATGATGGTTATCGATCGATTTTGTTTAATGTATATGTTGCATTTTCGTATCAGTACTTTGTGTACTTTCGGCACTATATGTGCACCTATGGTATTCATAATAAGTTTATGAATTACCATTTCGTTACACTAGTATAGTGTTGCTGTCACTATATAACCTATGCTTTCATTTAGCACTTATCTGCAACTCATGTACCTTGCAATCTCATTTGACATACATTGGGCAAATAAATGGATATTTTGGAAAATACTGATTGATAGGTATGTTGGACATACTAAATATCGTTTCGCAGGTTATTTGAAATAAAATTGGTTTACCAAGTCATTTTTATGTATTATTATGATTTATACGATTAAATTCATATTTTGATGTTTTATCACATACTTATGTTTTGGTTATGCCTCATTTATATTATTATGCCTCACTGAGTGTATATTTAGCATGTGATGATTTTCACGCGTAGGTAATAGCTTACGATAGAAGTGAGGGGTGCAATTGATATCATCTATCAAGGATTGCCTCATCAGTAACAATATGACATCTCTAGATGTTTATTTTGATATTACTAGTTGGCATGTACTTAGATATGTGGTGATGCTCTGATAAGATACTTCACATTTAGTTGTATTTTTATATTATGTTTGAACTTAAACTACTATTTGATGGATTTTAATTATTATTATATATACATCTATTTGAAGAATGTTTTATAAACTATATTATTAAATTGTTTTATTTAAAGAAACAAAATTTTACTGGTTTCCAAGTACGAAAATGTTTTAAAAGTCATGTGACATCTGTGACTCTTGTACGGGGACGTATATGGTAAATGGGTGTTACAACAGTAATATAACATAGAATTTCAGCCCTCAGAAACAAGTGTCTTCAACATGTTAAACTTGTTAAGAATTCAAGAACTTTTCCCTAGAACAAGATGCTCTACATGTGCGTGCATGATTGTATCCAATCTATGCTTAACGAAGTTAGAGATATTTTAATCAAGTTCTCTATTCTGCTGTAGCATTTATTTAACCATTAAGCACAATTTTACTCCCATTTCCTTACGATTCAATTTTTTGTACTACTATGAAGGGAGTCAGCCTATCACACCTACTTTCCAAGACTTGAAAATGAAGTGGAGAAAACACCACATTCCCTATCCTATTGAGTAGAGTCATCCTGTGACTACTTTCATTCACTTATATGTTATAGCTGCCATTTATTCAAGGGGTTTCCAGGCAATGCCATAGCAAAGAGGAGTG